GCGCAAATACTTCTAACATTCCTCTCCTTATTGGAGAGATGCAAGATTCGGACTTAGATATTGTAAAGTGGTGCACACAAGAGGCTAGCTGCCAACGGGGAGATGTGGCCCCCTTGGAATCCCTTGTGCTGCCATTTAGCGCGGTGCAAGATACTGCAGTTCGGTTACGAAAGGCTTAGTCACTTTGAAGTACTTTCCTCTCTGCGCAAAGCCGTCGAATCAGTGGGATAATAGTCCCGTTAGACCATCTTATCCGCACGCTTCGAAAGGCGCTCAAAACGCGAGACAGATATCTGGATGACTGCCGCTTGTTCCTTTGCTTGAGGATATCACAGGGGTGACTGTACGCGGGACCGTACTTCCAAATCCTGTGTCGTTCTGACCACTCCAAGTAGGCTCCAGAACTCGATCGGATGCCTCGGCGCCGCCTGTTCTAAACCAATCTTTCGTCTGACGTCCTTAAGCACCCAAATCTCAAATGCCTGCGCCTCGAGTTCACTAGATCATGCAAGTTTTCACACCGCTTTCCCACCTTTCACAGGGCCTATTCACAGCGCTGGACCCCGAGGTCGCTACCCCGGACCCCACCCTCCAGGACGCCTTCATCCAAGCCGGGGCATTCACACTCCTGGTGCCCATGCTGAGCGAGCCCATCGTCGCGGCCCAAATCTGGGCGGCAGAAATACTCCGCGCCCTAGTTATCGCTAACCAGGCCACGAAACGCACGCTGAATGCTTACGGGGGGCTGACGCGGCTTTTTGAAGCGCTCGGTGGGGGCAACCCGGGCGTCCAAACGGTGGTGCTGCGGTGCCTGGGGGAAGAGCTGCACGAGGCGAGCGAGCTGTCGGTGCTTGCGATCAACAAGATGGCGGCGCTCAAGCTGCTGACGCAGTGCGTGCTGCACGGAGAGGCGCCCGTGCAGGTACAGCTGCTTGCGTTGATTGTGCCGTTGGGTTTTCAAATACTCGGAGTCTGGTCCCTGGCTTCCTGGAAATGGACCGCACGATCGACGTTTCTGACAGCGTTTAACTCAAGATTGCGGATCACGACTCCGAAGCTGTAATCAGGATGGAATTAGAGTTTGACGCAAAGAGCGGTACCAAGCGTGTGTCCTGGAGATGCATCTTCTGGAGCTTCACAGGATTGAAGGCTTTTTGAGCGTGTTTTGGAAGAAGGTCTGAAGTTTGCGTGTCTCAGTTCGCTGTCGGCAAGCGCCTTGACATGTCAGCAGCAACTTACGACGATTCATCCGCTGATTGAGGCGTCGGTCCGCAAACGATATGACGATGCCGAAAACCGCTTTAGCACGCTCTGCTCGGGGCTACTTCCAAGCTCTCCAAAGATGCTCTCTTCAGGCCCCCAAAAGAGACCAGAATTTACTGTGCGTCCTCATATGAAGCTCCCAAAGTATCAATCAGGGATGATCAACTACCGGCTTCATTCCGACGGCTGACACGAGATCTCGGTGTGCTGACGCCCGGCGGTCTTTCCCGATCGCAGAAGACGGTGGTATGGATTCAATTGCGGAAAAGTCGGTCGCTCAACACAAGGGGTTTCTGATCTGCGCTGATGGTCCAGGAGAAGGCGATGAGGGTGGTCGATCAGAGTATTTTCCGTCACGCAATCCATTGATCCATTTTCCGCTATGTTTCAGGGCACGGTGATGCGTTCGATCGCTTCGTATATATACTCGTCGATTATTCCAAATACATCAAGAACTTAAGCCCTGTACCCTTGATGCAAGAGAAGATGGTCTAAGTAAATAACCTTCTGATCAGCCTCTTATCGCCAGGCCCGCGGATTCCTCAGTCTTGGTCTTGTATCTTCCAGGAGCAGCCGATATGGGTCATCGATTTCTCGATCTCATGCTTCTCGCAAACCACTTCAGATCCTCATCCTCGGTAGTGTGTATCCCAGGAAAAGGCGATGTGGGTCATCGGTCGGATGACTCTGAACCAGGCGGTGGTGGCGCGTCTGTTGGGGCAGGAGAAGCCGCGCCAGCTGATCCCCATCCTCATCAAGAAAGTGAAAGACTCGGCGGCGCAGCCTGAACTGCAGTATCATGTGAGCCACCAAAGCAGATTGTGAACGCACTCAAATGCGACGAAATTCCCGGTCATTTCCTATTTCCGAACGCGAGCGCTAACCGTAGCTGTATCAGTTTGATGGGTTTGACTCAACGAGACGGCTCACGGTTGGTATTTTCGCATACGCTACTTTGAGTGTCGCCAAGAAGTCCTTTCTGCATCTCTCAAGACTTTCTATATGGGGCTCTTGCAATCAATCATGACTGTCTCAAAGCGTACTTCCGGAGAGATTGCGCATGGTACATGGAGCGTAGCTCACTTTCATATGCATTCTTCCTGCCAGTCAGCCGTCATTTCGGCCACCTCCGCGGCACAATCATTCCTCGGCCTACTAATCAAAACGCATACTTTATCTTGTTTGAGGACATGGCTGCTAAGGTGGGATAGGCAAGCACTCTCATTCTTGTAGGGGTTATGCTTGAAGAGAGCATAGAGAGAGTCACGAGACGGAGTGGAACGTAGAGCAACTTCATTCATGCGACCAAGAATAAGACCCGAGGGCGTCGTGCAAGTAAGAACGACGTTTAGTCTGGCCAAATCGAGAGACATGTTGAAAAACGCCCGTTGTAAGGAATCCAGACCTCCCCGAAACCATTTGTTCCTTCGTCATGCACTGGTCCCATCTTGGACTGCGTGCCTCACCCGGCTTAGCGGGCTTTCCACCGGCCAGAGTCGAAGTTTCATGATGGCGGTTCCACACGTCTCTCTGTCGACTTCACACCTCCCTAGCCCGCATCTTTTCTGCGGCTTTGGTGAAGGCCACCGTTTCGTACAGCCACCCAAAAGGATGCCCGTGTCGATCGAGTGTGAAAACCCCGGGTACAGGCCGTGTACGCGCTCGAGTTCCTGACGGTCCAGCCGGAGGACAACATCAAGCTGGCGCTCAAGAGCGACATGGTGCCGATTTACATGGACGTCATCCGGAACGCCGGCGCCGAGGACCGCACGCGCGTGCGCGCGCTCTCCACGCTCACCGACAACAGCAGGGGCTGGCACAAGTTCCAGGCGTAAGGGCCAGTCTCGGGCCCCTAGACCTCACACCCAAGATGTTGTTTTCGACGAGTTGTTCGAAAGTTCCCGCGAAGGCGGAGAGTGTGGTATATCGTCGATTTCCGTAATTCTCGCCCCTAATGAATTGCAGACTGGTCAAGTTTAAGGTGCTCGAGAGTCTCCGCGACCCCTTGGAAGGCCGGACTTCGACGTTTTTCCAGCGTGCTGGGCTAGCTTCAGTATTCTGCTCTCCCTTTCCAAGTTCGCACTTATTCATCATCGAGGTTACTTGATTGCACCCCGCTGCCATTCTGAGAAGAACACGTGGCCTTCTTGCGCTGAAGGTTTTCTGGTCTCGTCAGAGACTCCTATCATTGTTCTGTTCCGTCCATTCTTGCCTGCGTCTCGGACGTTGATCCTGGCACCCACAATCTTCATTTGGGTCTCCTCTGCTGCGGTTAACATATCTCCGAGTCGTCCTGATCCCGCCCATTCGATATTTTGCGCAGCTTGTCTTTCTCTCATCTCGGCCGTCAACTCTGGACGGAGCTAGCTAGCCGGGGCTCCATGATAATTTTGACTGATACATCAATCGTGACGGAGGTTTTATGGAAAGTTTGGTATGTCAGCAAATCTGCTGGCTTCGGGCGAAAACCAGCGGGCTGCCACTTCTGGGCACATCCATGAAAAGAGGCTTTAAGTCGCAATCTTCGCGGCTTTCATTCAGAACTTCCCTGCCAACAACCCGTTCGTCGTCTAACATGGACTATCCATTCCTTTAATCTTAAGCTTGCTTCTTCCCACTCCTCGCTGTTTTTACTCCGCGCCTTTTTCCTCCCTGCAGCAAATGCTCCCGGGCCGGCATCTACAAGCTAACGTGGACCCTCAAAGACGACGCGGCCGCGAGCCCGGCGGTGCGCGACGCGGCCGCGCAGGCGTACCGCGACATGTGGAAAGCGATGGGCGAGAGCGTCCTCTCGATCGTCGGCCCGTTCTCGTTCTCCATGCGGAGCAACATTCTGAACGGCTCGCGCGCGTGACGTACTGTGCTTCGAGACCTGGTGGCTGAGAAGCAGAGTTACAAGAAGCGAAAGAAGAAGGGGAAAACGAGATGAGAGCTACTTATCTTGGCGGGCCGCCAAGCCAGGGCAGAACGCCCTGTATTCAAGTGCGTGTATCTCATTCCAAGGAATTCCTTTTGAAGCAAGGGAAGCATACTCTGTATCATGGAGGATTTGGTACGACCACCAAGGCCGTCGGTCAAGCAGACTTTGGTCTAATTCTGCGTGTAGCAGGGGTGTATAATCAGTAGACTGCAAGGTCACTCGGGTCAAGATACAGGCGGGTCTTGTCGACTGAACCGTACCACGTCATGTCCAGTCCTACTAGTCCTAGGGCGTCCGTAGGTCAAGGAGAAGCCGATAGACTGTCAGATTGAACCTCCGACCGCTTAAGCAATGCCAGCGTTGGTGCACGGGTGCCAATTGAACCTACTGTACTTATAAACTTAAACAGACTTATACTGATGTCAGTGCTGACGTCTTAGTAAAATGTATTGGAGGCCTTGGCCAGAGACTTCTTTGAGCGGAGCAGTTTTTGGATTGAGTAGGCAATACGGACGCGTATTGTGATAGGTTGAGGATTTCCATCCACAGCAATGACCGTAGCTGCTGCACCACAAAAGCTGGCATGCGTCTCAAAACATCTGCTTAAGCTGCACCACCGGAATGTCTAGGTACGTTTTCTGCAACCGACTGCAATCCGGAGATTATAAGTCAACATGCCTGGCCTTATCGGGAAAATTCCTGTCATTTTCAGCAAGTGCAGAATTGACGACGGTGCCTAGCTACAAGAGCTCTCATGTGCAGTCAACTCGTGAATCATGCGATATCAAACTAAAATCAAGCGCGGACGGCGATCCATGCCGGAGCTGGCTATGCCCGTTCGATCGTGACAGTACCAAGAAGCTAGCCCGCCGATCCTGTATATATATACTCGTGACATATCCAAGTTGCGCGCGCGGCTTAATTGCACGGCCATGGCAAGTTCCGGAGGCCGTCCCTTAATCATGTGCGGATCATGATGGCCAGAGCTTTAACAATACAACCTAGTGAAGCGCCAATCATTGCTCAGCCTGGTTCAAGCATGGCGGCGCGCGCATGCATGCCCCTGGCAGAGGCCGAGCGAACACATGCACATGTACATCGACTCAGAAAGAAAGTACCGGCGTCATGCTCCGTGCTTGAAATAGTCGGAAGCGGGTATTTGCTGCAAAAAAAACACTTGGCGACAAACGTGCATACCAGAAACATTCTTCCATCGTGCCTACAAAGCCTACGAATGGCTCCGCAAAGGTGATTATGTACAGGCGGTGCTCTGGCTAATAGGAATTAAATGCTACGACAATGACGTCATGACCGTCATTGGTCCTTGTCATCACTTCCGAACTGTGTCGAGTTCCCGTTCCAGAAGTTATTGCGCCTGGGATCCGCCTCCTCTTCCGACGAGCGGTCCAGCCCATGAATATTTCCCCGGGCGCCAGCACCCCTCTTGCGAGTCTGGTCGGAGGACCCTGCAAACGTAAGCTCTACGGTCAGCATGGATTCAATGTGGCCCAGTGGTTTTCCTGGCTATGCCTCTTCAATCTGTGGCGGGCAGTGATGGGTACGGGGATGCGAGACGTGCAGACGCTGGGTGATGTGGCAGATCGCGAGAGGACAATTCATTTCTTACCTTTTGCAAATTTTCAAAAAAGAGGAGGAGATGAAGCGACTTCTTTCATTCAAAACTCATGTGCAGATTACATCAACTTTGCATCAAGAATGGCTGGACATATTTCTTTTTACAAAACATCTTTGTTTGCCTGTTGTGCAACATCTGCAAGGATCACCTGCTGCCGACTCGTGTGCAGGCCTGAAGGGATCATATCAAAAAACCATTCACTTACGAAAGCATGTTGCTTCCAATAAGAGCCCTCACTGCATCCGCTAAGTCGAGACACCTAACCCCAATAGCCAGCCATAAACTGATAGATTTCTGGTACTTCATTGTGTGTCCTTCTCTCAACGTAAAGTTCTGCTAGGCATCAACTTGGCCAGTGTGAGGTCCGGACCTGAGTGCACCAGAGGGAATAATTGCTGTGCGCTTACCTGTTTGGTTTGAGTTCGGTGTGGCAAACCGTCCCCCGGAACCAAGCCCACGAGAAGGCGGCTCCTGAGCGCCGGCTGGCCCGGCGCCCCCTTCACGAACAGCCCTCTCCAGCTGCGGATTAGGACCTGCGGGATTGAAGATAGCACCTCCAGCGTTTGCATGTAACCTTGCGGTTGGGCGACAAGAAAGCGAGACTAGCGAATAAGATACAATCGCGGCAGGGTGTACTCGAACCCATAAGAAGAAGCAGAACTGTGAGACAGAGCCTGATTCCGGTTCGGAAGGAAAAGGGCGACCATCCAAAAACCAGACACACATGAAAACGTGGCATCACGCCGTACAAAGCTGTCTTCGTGGGCACGAAAGGACTCTGATCCATCGACTCTCAAGAGAAGTCAGAGTCTGCTGTGTCTCTAGATGATTCCTTCCAACGAGTACATGCTTCATTCGCCAGGATCTGTTCCAGATTCAGAGCACCATCTGTGCTTCTGAATTGTCGAGGGGAAAGAAGGCTTTATCAACAGAGCAGCCGAGCTCACCGTACTCCCACGGCCGTCCCGCTGGTTGCGCAGCCGCCTCAGCAGGCGGGGCTGCTGGCCCCCAAAGGTAAGCGAGCGGGTTCAAGTACCCAAGCACACCCCCCACTGTCCGCGTCACCCCCGCCACCACCCCTTGCTCTTCACTTGGTCCGCTCGGTGCAGGCCGTGCACTAACATTCGAAAACCGTTTCGGGATGAGCAGAAGCGACGCCCGTGGGTAGAGCTGAAGTTCCACGAAGCTCTTTTCGAGGTCCGACTCAGTGAGGATCCGCTTTGGGAAGGGGATGGCGAGATCGTAGGGACTCCCGTTTTCGTTCCGGTTGGCGTCAAGCCAGGCGCGTGCGTCCCACAGGGGGGCGTTCTTGTCGAACTCGGCGCGCATGCTCTCGCCGTTGGTGAGTCGAAACTGGATCACGGCCGTTTGAGAGGTGGACGCGGGTGGGGGTGCGGGCTTGGGGCTTGCCTTGATACCAGCCTGACGACTTTCAGCAGAAGCGGTGGACGGAACGGCGGGGACCGGTTTCTGGATACTCTTTGGTGCAGCAGGCGGTGCTTGTGTTGGAGGTCGAATGGGTGGTTTCGAGGGGCTAGGTGGAGGAGGCTTCTCCTGGTCTCGCTTCTGCTTCTTGACGGTGCTCTCGGCCTCCCTGCGCGCCGCTTCTACAGAAGCACTGCCACCTGCCTCCCCTTCTTTCTTGTCCAGTTTGGCTCCACCAGCACTGGCACGTGCGGAAAGCACCCCGCCAGGCCCCAGGGATCCCCCTGCTGTTTGATGCTCTGGGGCCGTGCCTACTACGCCAGGGGGGTCGTCCAGTACCGGGTGTCCAGACTCATCCAACAAGTCGGGTATCCTTTCCTCAGACTCGCTGCCGTCGTCCACCGTTTCGAGTCCCGGGTCATCCATACGCTCTCGATGGGTGAACGTGACCGTCCAACCATACTGCATCTCAGCATCCGCCTCCTGCCCAGCCCTTCCGGCGGCCCGCGCGCCCACTGACGGCCTTGCTCCCTCGACCTGCCGCTCTTCACTTTGTGCTGGCATCGGGGCCCTCCCCAGGGGGACAGGCCCTTGCACCCCTCCCGCCGCATCTCCTCTTCCTTGCGGCACTCTTAGTACCGATCTTTGTTGCTCGTTGTGACGCGGCTCCTCATTCTGAGCAGGCCCGGGAACTGTGGTCGGAGCTGTGGCCCCAGCAGCATTGGTCAGCATTGCCGCCATCGCCCTGGCCAGCTGTGACTTGAGCGCTCCTTCCTCGATGCCCTTGACCAGATCTGCGCTTGAGATGAAACCCTCGTGCCAGAAGACGCAGTCGCCAGCGGTGCCTACGGGGAAATCATAAGTAGTCAACGCCGTGATTCGCTGTGCGGTCAACATTCATTGATAAAGGGAGAGTTGGCATGTCTGATATCTACTCCACCCTTGCAAACCCCTTGATACATCAAAAGTTTCTTGTTTGACACACAAGTCATCACCTCATGATTTTGGAAAACAACCGTGGTGGCTTAATAATCCATATTATTAGGCAGAATATGCAGTGTCCCCGACAGCAAATGTAGCGATCTTGTGGGCGATCTCTTTTGGGCGATCTTGTGGAAGCACTGCAACACCAGAAAGCTCAAGGGTGCGCACGTTGAAAGCACCACCTACAACATGGACAAAGAACTTCTTCATGTGACAGTTGACATTCAATGCAGCTTTGATCAAACGCTCTTGCGCAATGTAATCAGCTTGTAAAAGGTTTTCTTTGTACCGCTCACCAATGACAGCCACCGTGGGAGCTTTGTTGATCTTGCAGAATGCACTAAAATTTGCAGCATCCGGGCTGCCCTCTTGCAACCTAAGAATCAGCATTCCCTTCAGCGAGTCAGCAATGGCAGGCCAAGTCACCGCTTCCATTTCCTTGGACTCAGCATTCTCGCTCCCAACATATACCACAACCTGCTTGTTCTCAACCTTTGCCTTCCCGATTGCTTCAGTGATAGAGCCTTGGTAAAATACTTGCTGCATATCCGATCCACCCCCCTCGCTCGCAGCCATTCTGGCACTTCAATGTAGACAATTCCAACGGACGCCCTCAATTTGAAGATTAAATCTTGCGCTTCAAAGCTGATTAAAACGACTCAGAATGCTTGCCCCCCTTGCATGCTGGAATTGAGTCCAGTGCTGGCACCAATGAACCAGCTTTACAATTCACCTAGCTGGATTCTGTACACGTCGGGTAAATCAGGATGAACGCTTGGGCTAGCACGCTAGCCTCGGACCAGAATCCGAATGGGAACCCGGGTTCGATCCGCGGGCCGACGGCCGGGGCACCCAGCGCAAAATCACGCGCGTTTTTTAGCTGGGTTCTGTATACCAGATTTCTGAGCCGTCGATCTAAAAGTGAGAGGGGCTCAAAGTCGTCGATAAGACTTTGGGAAGGTTACAACTTACAATACCTCTAGTGACGGGTTGCACTCGGACTCGGAGCTCCGCAACATGTGATCGAGGGGACGCTGAATTTAGAAGGAGGGAGGACGCTTCAACGCTTCATTGACATCAGTGACATCAGTAGTGAAGGCCTGCCAGCGCAGTTCGCCGCAGTGCTTTCTGTCATCAGCAGGAGGCGATGATGCAAAAGAATGAAGACGGCCTCTGGATTGAAGCGATGGCCTTCAGCTCGAAGGTATCATTGGCGTGCAGCCTCTCAAGGTGTTGCGCTGTTCGCTGCTGTCTTCTTTATGTGCCTTCTATTTTCAGAGCGCGGCATCAGTGACGAGCACGTGGAAGGCAGGACTGACGAGGAAAAGGAAGGCTCCTGGATTCTGAGGAGAAAGCTGGGTCCAGAGCAGGGAGACAGCATCGAGGGAAGGGTAAATGCAGGTTCGCTTGAGCTACCAAAGATAACTCTACGTGCGCTTGCGTCCCGGGAAGAGATACAAAAAGAGGTCAAAGCAGCCGAAGCACAGCTTGAAACCAGGGAGCAGGGAGCTGGTTCGGATCCTAGCAAGAATCCTATCTTAAGAGGGAACTTCGATCTTAAACGCTTTCCTATAGACCATGCTGTCCTAGCTAAGAAGCTCACCCTGCAACAGAACTCAAAGGTAGAGCATATTCCGAATGAAAAGACGGAAGCTGAACCATCAGATATTCCACTTCGGCAATTCAAGTTGCCGAGTAAGGAGCAAGGCAATCTGGTACCATATACTCAAGGAGCCGAGCCTGCCCTAGGAACGACCACCAGTCTCACCACTTTACCAGAAGTGAGGCCCCCGGAGAAGGAAGTGTCAAACTGCAAGCTTTGCCCAGCTCCGGTCATACCCCAATTCTGCAGCTATGCGCCCCACCCGTTGGCCCCTTTAGACAGTCTTCTAAAGCTAGACCAGGGCATCGTCTCCCGCTTCTCTTGGAGCTCTCAAGCTCTGGCAGCTCTGGACCCAGCTACAGCGTCTCAAGCGCCATTTGAACCCCCTCCTGAGGAAGTCAGGAGCACAGTCAGCCAGCTCCTGGACCAGTGGCAGAGTCCAAAGTCGAGCTGCGGAATTTGGACGCGGGACTGTGTGCGAAGACATCTGTCTGGTGAACACCTCCCAAACGTTCCCACAGGGCCAGAGCGCTGCTTTGTGGATGGGCGGTTCCCTGTGGGGAAGGACACAGAGCAGGTGTTACAGCTGTTTCCAGACCTAAAAGAGGGCGTCTTTGGCAGCTGCGCTGTGGTGGCAGTCAGCCACAATCTGCTAGGGAAGGGGAGGGGGCCTGAAATTGATGCGCATGACACTGTGTTCAGGTAAGAGGATGCTGCAGCATAATGGCAACTTAGACAATCTTGTGCTGTACGGGCCTGCTTTTAGAATATCTGGCTGGCCTGATGAGATCTTAAGATTCCTCAAGCTCGAGATTCCAATCAATGGTGTGTGTACAATAAAGTTGAGTTCGGCACACTCTGCCCCCGCTCAATTTATCTGCCCTCTCCTGGTATCGAAGCCTTTATCAAGCAGACATATCCTGGACCAGTATACCTCGTCCTGCCTGAATTGCCACCATGTCAGAGACTGATTTGTTGGAAGCCCTGCGTCACAGTCTTGGTGTTGATGAATTGGTATTTGCAAAGGTAAAGCAGCAAAAATGTCTCGACGTCCTCTTCTCATATTTTGGGCTGGTCGCAACAGAATATCATGGTCCCTGCGGGTTTGTTGAGTTGTTACCAGAGACAAGAGGCCTTGAATTACCATTTGCATCTGACCTGCTGGCGCTCGTGGAAGGCAGCTCTTGCGTGGTTATAGGTACAGCTGCTGCGCATGCACAGAATTGGCGTTTTGATAGAGAACACCTTACCGTTCCCTTCAATTACCTGCTTTCGATGTCATCCGCTGGCGTCTGCTTTTTTGGATCCGAGGTTTGAAGAAGATCCTTGCAGGATGCTCCGACTCAAGGGTTGTTGCTCCTATTTGCAATCGACCGGAAAGCCATTGTAAGAAGAGGCCTAGCTTAGAATCGCTTTGAACGTTCAGCAGACCTAAGCAAAGCTGAGACCATTTATTTGAGCAAACCTTCACTGACCTCGAGCTTTTTGACAAGCGTACATTGTACCGTCTGTGCGCAGATTTAACGCCCCTCAGGAGGGCTTTCGAAAGGACGTTGGCGCACGGTCCACCATCCTTTACTGGAAGGGGCGGGGTCGTGAGCACGCGTACGGGCAGGAAGGGCAGACTGCCGAGTGGTTCTACATGTTTCGAGAGTACCCCAAGGCCAAGTTTTTCAAGCTTGCCACTGCCGGCGAGCAGCGCAAGCTCAAGTTCCGGAGGAAGCAGGCCCTGTGGACCAGCGGTCTGCCGTGGGAGGTGAGGCGGTTCATACCGTTCTCAGCCGTTCAAGTCGCGCTTGGTCGAGATGCCTTTTCGAGAAGGTGGTCATGCCCAAAAGAACGTGCTATGCTGGCGTTGCTTGGCCTCAAGAGCATCGGCTACTTGAGGTTGAGAGTCCTTCCCTTTTGCTTTACGAATCCCAATCGGTTCTGTCTTTCTGCATCCTCAGTTTTGAGTTCGTGATTGTGTTTAGCTCCAGAAGATCCTTAGCCAGTCACTTCGGTTCCTCGTTCTTTCTTCATTGCTAGCGGGATCTGTTGGTTCAAGTCGTTCCTGTCCGCTACTACTGTCCTGTCCGCTCACCATGGTGCAGACACGATGTTTCGCTACCGGGCTCGTTTCTGGGGCTTTTTCTTTGTCATTGTTGTCGGCGTTCGAAAAAATGTGTGGCTATGCTCAGCTTTCCTCTGTGCCCTCCAGGTTGGCCACCAGATTTACGAGCCGTTGAGAAAGCTCGACCCCCTGGTGAAGATGAGCAACGGTTTCGAGATAGTTCTGGGTGTGATTTCGAGCGGTCTGTGCAGTAGGGTTGACCTTTATGGGTTCAGTGCTCAGGGCAACGGAAAGTACTTCGTAGACGTCGAGAGCAAGAACCTGGGGGCGCAGATGTTGTTCAAGCATGTTGCAGGCCTAGAACACTGGGTGTACAGGGAAGCAATGGCGCGCGGGATGCTGTGCATATATGATTGACGCGGAAGATGTGCTTGATTGTCTGAGTAAACGAGCTTTCGCGATCGAGTGCAACTCGTTCATTTTATCCACTTGTGTTGAGATCAAAATGTGCGGCCAGTGTATTACAATTGATTCACAGATGCTTTCTTCAAGTTCCTTCCCTCAGAATCGGCCGGGGCCACATGTTATATCTTGATAGCATCGCAGGCCATACACTTCTGGTACAAAAGCTTTGAAAGTTGGAGCCAAAGTTTATGGGGATCAATCTTTTGTACACCTCATCTCGATCATGATCAATGTATTCGCGCATGATCTGAATGTTCAGTTTGCTCAGATCACCGGGCCATCTTATAATCATTGATCGAACAAAATTTTGTAGCACATACACGTATTACATGCAGTATGTACATGCATGTGCAACAAAGCTTCGGCCCACAGCATTCCACCGGCTCCTTATTATAGCACTCTCCGACCAGATTGTCCTTGTAGGCATGCCGCCAGTTATTTAAATACTGCATATAGAACTGTAATCTTGATCCTCTTCGTAGCGATTGACTGCATGCATGTGCATCAGATTGCGTCCGTTTTCAATGATCATCCTGCATACCGGCCTTGCTGGCGGCTCTGGTTTCTGCTTTAGTGTTGCCGATGATAACGACGAACTAGCTGGGTGCAGTGCAACTGTCATGTAGGAATGGGCCAAACATCCAAATTGTCAACGACCAATCAGTAGCTGGAAGTATGGTGTGAGGATATGGGTGTATAGGCCTCAGAGAAACAATGGACTAATCTGAGCTGCAAGCACCAATAATATCAGACAAACTATGATAACCTTTGAACAGATGAATCCCCACGGAGCAAATCTGCATACTGGCATCCCACATGACAGTATTTTCTGCAACGCCCAATGCGTCTTAAGGTCTGCAACAGAGAGCTGGTCTGGCTGAACCTTCACCCTTTATGCAACCTTAGTCCCAAAAACCTGTTCAAACTATCCTGAGCACCCCAAATTGCTTCCGTTAAGTCAGACCTTGTAAGTGCTAGAGAGAAGGCCACCTGTAGGTCTAAACTACATATGTACAGACAAATCGTTCTTACTTGATCTTTCCTCTGAGCTTCACTCCCAAAATGCGTTCCAATTTAGCGAGGACTTGCTGATTGGGAACTGCTTTTCCTGACTCGTACTCTTGAACAACCCGAGGTTGCTCATTGATTGCCTGAGCCAACTGTGCTTGTGTGAGCTTCTTTTCAATCCGAGCTGCCTGGATCTTCTTCTTTACTTCTGTCTCGACTTTCGGTAAATGAAACTCTTCAGTCTCCTCGTCCAGTTTTCGCGCCAGCAATCCAGTGTCTGTTGTCTTTTTGTTTGCACCTGTGCGGACAATAGAGGGCAATTTCTTAGTGTTCTGTATTAGTGTTTGCTTGCGACCTGCCAAATGTAGACTCATTACGAATTTTGGGAAACCTGTCATCAGACTGGGTCTGAAAATAGATGCCCTGGTTTGTGGCAACGGTGAGAACGTACTACCACCGGCTTCTTTTGAGTTTCACCCACACCCAGTGCCTGATCACATTCCACAGACGAGTGACCAACTGCAAACCCTTTGTTCTGACAACCTCGCAAGCCACCAATATACTCATAACAATGACGGATAGATCATGACCCCTTGTGGTGTTGCTTAAAGTCCCAGGTGCTTCAAGTGGCCAGATTTTTCCGGCCTTTCAAAGGCTGTCAGATGGCAGTCATCACGCGCCAAACCTCAGCTGATGACCTCTCGCCAAACGATCTGGCCAACGTTGAAAAACGCCTTCCAAGCTTGAGGTGGCAAGAGAGAAACCCTAACGCCTTAGGTCAAGAATGCCAAAGAATGTCCTGGACACTGCCTTTGCACAAACTGAAGTGAGGAGACATCCACAACAAGAGCTAACGCTAGACCTCATGGGCAACTGCCAACGAGCACGCAACTTCAAACTTCATGCTTCTGTAGACAGCCTTTGATCCTTAAACTACATGCTCATATAGATATAGGAAGAAGCAAGATCAGGACTGTCACAGGATCTTTAAAAAGGAGAGTCAAACTGCAGCAGCATGCAATGGATCCCAACGTCAGACTTCAAACACTCACAGATCTTGTACCTGTCCCCTTACCTGCATCAAACTTCTTGACGGTGTCCACCTGCCCTCCCGCCCTACGTGCCGCGTTCACCGCCTTTTCGTCCTTTGTCTCCGCTGACTTTGTGGGATGCTTCCGGATGACCACCGGCTCCCAATCCTGCCCCGTAGGCACACCCCTGGATGGCATCCTGATCAACGGAGGGGATAACAAGTGTAGGTTTTAACAATTGGGCTTATATCAGCAGCTTTGACTGATGCAGGTGGAGGCAAATGCCTGTTATCAGCGGCTTCAAAGAAGAGCGGCGCCAAGAGTGGACTAGAACAGCTCTTCGGAAATCTGACAGTGAGAAAGCTTTGGCGAGCTTCAAAATCTGGAAGACAAGATGATCCTATGCGTAAGGGGACGTTCTCCTCCACTTCTCAACTTTTCGTCGGGCAGTTGGGAAAGTGCTGTATATTTTGCAGGGCGTCGTTAACTTGAACCAAGCTCCGGCCTGAGTGTTTGAACATCAGATTCATAACACGAG